GCCAGATGGCATAATGGGTAGTAAGTAAGTAAGTGTTTGACAAACAGCCCAACAGTTGCTTACCATCGTAAAACCGGAGAATTACCATCGTAAAACCGGAGGTAATCGTAAGAACAGCCCAACAGTTGCTTACCATCGTAAAACTGGAGGTAATCGTAAGAAAAGCCCAACAGTGGCTTACCATCGTAAAACCGGATGTAATCGTAAGAACAGCCCAACAGTTGCTTACCATCGTAAAACCGGGGAATTACCATCGTAAAACCGGAGGTAATCGTAAGAACAGCCCAACAGTTGCTTACCATTGTAAAACCGGAGAATTACCATCGTAAAACTGGAGGTAATCATAAGACCAGCCCTACAGTTTTTGTTTTTTTTACCATCGTAAAACCGGAGGTAATCGTAAGAACAGTTGAAAAAAAAAACTATCGTAAAACCGAAGGTAATGATATAAACAGCCCAACAGTTGCTTACCATTGTAATACCAGCGGTAATCGTAAGAACAGCCCAACAGTAGCTTACCATCGTAAATAAAACCAGAGGTAATTGTAAGAACAGCCCAACAGTAGCTTACCATCGTAATACCAGAGGTAATCGTAAGAACACCCCAACAGTTGCTTACCATCGTAATACCAGAGGTAATCGTAAGAACAGCCCAACAGTAGCTTACCATCGTAAAACCGGAGGTAATCGTAAGAACAGCCCAACAGTTGCTTACCATCGTAAAACCAGAGGTAATCATAAGAACAGCCCAACAGTTCCTTACCATCGTAAAACCAGAGGTAATTGTAACAACAGCCCAACAGTTGCTTACCATCGTAAAACCGGAGGTAATCATAAGAACAGCCCAACAGTTGCTTACCATCGTAAAACCGGATGTAATCGTAAGAACAGCCCAACAGTTCCTTACCATCGCAATACCGGACGTAATCGTAGGAACAGCCCAACAGTTGCTTACCATCGTAAAACCGGAGGTAATCGTAAGAGCAGCTATAGGGCGACCCCTCCAGAATCATATCTGTGATGTTGATCAAGATGGTTGTGCCCTCAGGGGACCGGATTCGGTAGCTGCATCGCATTCCGTTCTCGTAGTTGTCAGGGTAGTTGGGGGTGGTAAAGTTCTGGTACTCTTCCGTGGCCACATACTCGTAGTCACAGCCAGAGCCTGTTTTGAGGTGGGAAAATTGGGGGGAATTGTTGCGGTTTGGGATTTTTTTTTTTGGTGGTTTTTGTTTGGTGTG